TGATGTTATAGTGCTAACTGAAACATTTAAAGTATATGATACAAGTTTGATCGAAATTCCCAATTATGATTTATATTATAACGATGGTAGTTTTAATAAAACTGACGGGGTTCTGATTTACGAAACACAAAATTTGAACAGTGGGTATGAAACTATTAATATAGCTCAAACAAAACTTTTACGAGTTATTCTTCAAAAGAATAATAAATGGATACAGATCATTGGTGTGTACAAATCACCCTGTATAACTGTAACAACACTTAACAGTCAATTATATGATTATCTAGAGAGCAGTAGAAAATTTGACATCAACTTATTCATTGTAGACCTTAACATTAACATAATTAGATCATAACAATCAAAATATTCAAGATTATTTAAATATAATGGCTGAACATGGTTACCTGTCAGCCATTAACGAAATGACAAGAGTAGAGGGAAACAGTGGGAGCTGTATAGATCCTGTGTTTATGAATTCACGTTTAGAACTTGACAAAATATATTCAGCAATTCTACAATACAAAATTTCTGATCATTTTCCTACTTTGCTCAAAATTCGATCTTGAAAGTACATCAACCAGAATTGAAAAGACAGTAAATTATACAAAAATTTACACTGATTGTGAAAAACTAAATAACAATTTACTCAATGAAAATTGGATTGTAGTATATAACAAACCTAATATCGAAAATGCATTTGTCCTTTTTATATCTAGCATTGAAGACATATTGCTGAATGCACCAAAACAGTAAAGATTTCACGAACACAAATAAAAAGACAAGCAGGGACATCAAAAGGGATTATTACCTCTATCAGCAAAAAAATAGAATTATATAAGGAAACCAAAAAGTATCCTTATGATGTTAAACTTTTGAATGAATTTAAATCATATCGAAACAGACTGACAAAAATAACTAAACAGGCTAAAATTAAATATTTCCAAGAAGAGTTTGATAATCTACAAAATTGTTCGTCCAAAATGTGGCAATTGATCAATAAAATACAACGCAAAAAACAAAACAACAAAATTAGTACAATTAAAAAAGAAAATGGTGAACTAGTGAGTAATGATGTAGACATAGCAACTGAATTTTGTGAATATTTTTCAAAAATCGGGAAAAGGTTGTCAGAAAACATAAAAAACGGGAGAAATTAAATTATAGTAAGACCAGATTATATAACTCATTATATCTGGAACCAACCGATACGCATGAAATAAAGACAATAATCAATGAATTGAAATTATGAAAATCTCCAAGTCTAGATAATATAACAGCATATACTCTCAAGAGAATAAATTCCAACATCTGCGGCATACTGTCATATTTGATATATTCTTGTATGAATAAAGGAATATTCCCTACATGTTTAAAACACGCTATGGTAAAACCATTATTTAAATCTGGAGAAAGAGAAAAACCCATCAACTATCGACCAATTTCCATCTTAACCAATTTTTCTAAAATATTTGAAAAAGTGTTAAAAAAACGATTCACCGAATTAGCAAAAAAATATAACTTAATAGCGGAACAGCAATATCGTTTTCAAGAAAGCAAATCTGCTCAAGATGCTATTGTAAAATTAAGAAGTAAAATATACACGAACCTCGATATTGGCAAACCAACTGCATGTGTTTTTGTTGACTTGGCAAAGGCATTCGACCCCATTACTCATGAATCGCATTTAACAACTTTAGAAAACTTAGGTTTCCGGGGAATAACATACAAACTTGTAGAAAATTATTTGCCAAATCGAACACAGTGCGTCAAAATTAATAATACATTCAGTGAACCCCGTATTATATCATACGGTGTACCTCAAGGTTCAGTATTAGGACCCATTTTATTTAATCTATTTATCAACGATTTGTTCAAAATAAGTAGTACAGGTAAAGTTATCGGTTTTGCGGATGATACAGCTATTCTCTATGAAAGCAACCAGTGGCATATACTAAAAACCACAATCGAAAATGATTTCAAAACATTTATAAATTTCTTTTCCGAAAGAACTATGACAATTAATTACAACAAAACACACTATATAGCATTTTCTTGTAACGACGGCTCTCGCCACAATTTAAAAAACTTGAAGTTCATACAAGTAGTGGTCTCAAAGAGATTCAGTCAGCCGATAAAATAAAATACTTAGGCGTGATTTTGGACAAACACTTAAAATGGGATAGCCATACAGAGCACCTTGTGAAGAGACTGAGATGTATTATTCCAAAATTCAGGTACTTCAGAGATATTCTGGAAAAGAAATATCTATATAATCTTTAATATGCTCTTGTTTATCCTCTATTACTTTACGGAATTTCGGCTTGGGGGAGATATGAATAATAATTACAAAAAGGTTGATGTAATCCAAAAATTAATTCTAACATTGATCCTCCATACTGAGATTACTTATTCAAGTGATTTTCTATTTGTGGAGGCTCAGCTATTAGATTGCAGACGAATTTATTTTTATTGTGGTCTAATACATTATTTCAAATATTCGAAATACTTGAATCGTACCATTCATAACTACCCAACAAGATTCAATCAAAATTCAATGTGTATTCCACAAACGTCAAAAACCATTACACAACGATCTGTTTTTCTTGGGACCAAAATTCTATAACTTCATACCAGAGTCATTAAAAGTAATTAAGTCAAATAGATCATTTAAAAAAGAACTAAAAAAATGGATTTTACAACAACCAAGGTGCTCTATCCACGAAATTATACAGGGTGACTTTGAAGTTGAGTCATTAATTTTCAGATAATGATTGTAGAAGGAAACCAAAATATGTGTGTAAAAATAAAAAAAAATTAAAAAAAAATGTTTACCTTGTTTTATAAAGTATCCTCCCGACAAGTATTTCAGTGCGGACCTGTATTTGATCGTGAGGTCCCCTGTGAGGTCTTAAGTCACCTGATTCACGAGCCCGTTGTACTACATTAACAAAGGCACGAGGGGTTGGTTGCACTCGATTGGGAAACCGATCCGCATAAGCATGTGCTATTTTTTATTTCGTTTGAGCCACGCAACAGATACCACTATTCACTGACACTGACTGTATACAAATGAATGAAATAATTGTAAAAAGCATCGTTCCAAATTCTTTCGCTTTTTTGTTTCCGATGCGATGAACCGATACGGCGGATTATATCCGTTGTCGCCAAACACGACCACATAATATTATTATTGAGACAGGGCGGTACTCCAACTTCCAAAGGGCTATAACTTTGTTACTTTAATTTTACCAGGAAAATGGTAAAGGAAAAAAACATTCCTTTTGATCAGATCTACTCACTGTTAAAATAAATGTCTCAACTTCGAAGTCACCCTGAAAAATCATTCTCAGAATCAATAATATTTTACTTACACTAACATCCATACTTTTACTTTAGTTATAATTGTCTGGATATTTTTCGGCACCAAATTATACAGTATTAACGGGTTTTTTTTCATACACTGCCTGTACTATTAGTTTTTATGTTTAACAAACCCAAACACAAGTGCAAACTTTTTTGGGTCCTTTATGTTTATTGTGCACAATATTTGATATTTACCTGTATTTTGTGACAATAAACATTATTATTATTATTATTATTATTATTATTATTATTATTATTATTATTATTATTATTATTATTATTATTATAAGTAATTTCTCAAAATACATTTTATGCAGGACAATGATGATTCCCTACTGGATAAAATCGATTTTTAATTAATTATTTTTTGGCTGCCGTCCCTTTGGAAGTTCGCTCAGTAAATTAGACCTGGCCCACAAATTGTCTCGATATATGGATAATTTTTTGAGGTACAATTCATCGAGGACAATCGTTCCCTAGAGGTTGAAATCTATTTTTGATTAATTAATTATTGGCTGCTACCCCTTTAGAAGTTTGCTCAGTAAATTTTACCTGGTCAGTGAATTTTCTCAACATATGAGTAATTTTTCAAGATACATTTCATCGAGGTCAGTCATTCCTTAAGGGCACATTATGGACACATTAATTTTTCACAGCTACCCCTCTAAAAGCTCGTTCAGTAAGTTTGACCTGGCCCAGAAATTGTCTCGAGAAATGACTAATTTTTCAAAACACATTTTATCGGAGACAATCATTCTCTAGGGGTAGTTATGGATTTTTGATTGATCAATTTTTGAATGCTTCCCCTTTAAAAGTTCGCTCAGGAAATTTGACCTAGCTCATAAACTGTCTTAATATATGAGTAATTTTTCGGTGACAACCATTCCCTAATTGTTGAAATTGATATCTCATTAATTAATTTTTTGGCTGCTACCCCTTTAGAAGTTCGCTTAGTAAATGTAACCTATAGCATAAAGCCCCTTTTGTATAAGTGATATTTTGAAGTACTTTTAATCGAGCAAAATCATGCCCTAAGGGTCGCAATCGATATATTAACTACCTGGCTTTTGGCTGCTACCCCTTTAGAAGTTCGATCAGTACATTTGAGTAGTCTCATATATTGTCCTAATATATGAGTAATTTCGAGATACATTCCATCGCTGGGGCTTAAAATCGACTTTTGACTAATCATTTTTTTGCTGCTGCCCCCCTAGGAGCTCGCTCAGCAAATTCAACTTGGCATAATAATTGTCTTAAATATGTGTAATATGGTATATTTCATCAATCGGTCCAATAATTTCCTAAGGGTTGAAATCGATTTTTCGTTACGTGGTTTTCGGCTGCTCCCTTTTAGAAGTTTGTTCAATGAATTCGACCTAGTAAGTAAACTGTGTTAATTCATGAGTTATTTTCCGAGGAACCTTAAAACAAAGTTCACACCACAACTAGACCTACTTTCAAAAACTGCAAGGTTTCCATTCTTGGCACACTAGTAACTTTGTGTGAGAATTTTATCGAAATCCGAGGGGTGCTTCTCAAGTTATAAGCGGTTATAAAACTGACAGATGGACAGATAGACCGTCAGGCAGATCGACGGAGATTAGTGCAATATCTCAATTTCGAAATTTTTCTCGATTTCTTTTTATATTCCATCTACCACGAAGGCTTAAACACCCATGGGGTACCGTGGGGCTACAGGGGAAAGGGGGAACGCCACACGGACTCTGGCGGGGGAACACGTGTGCATGCAACATGCACATATTCTCGCCCCGCCTACGAGATCCGCCGGGTGGTACCTCCGCGTTTGACAGTCAGTGACCATCTACTACCTACGGACAATCACAACATCCATAGTCAAAAGACAAATTTCTCCTGGGACGGGATTCGAACCCGCACAGCGCACGGCGACTGATCAGGAGACCGAAGAGTCTACTACTGCGGCCACCGCTGCTGCCTTGGTCGTAGATCAGGAACTACCGATGATCAAACTGATTTGCGAGGATGACTATGAAACTAACGTGACGGGGCTTTTACATCCTGTAATATATTCTTATCATTGCCACTCATTTACATACACGTCCACACCGTTTTTGCCGCTCTAGGTTTTTTGTCGTTGTTCCAATTCTTAATAAAAATATATACCTCTCTTATCCAGTCAATCGATAAGCGGCTGAAGAGAAATTACTGCATCTTGTACTCTACTGAAACCCATAAATTTCAACAATTCATTGATATGCATACGTCTGTGAGCGCCACAACTACACACGAGCTTATTATTCGAAATCGACTGGCCTAACACTGAGAGTGAGACACTGAGGACGTCCAAATATTAAAAAAGGATCGCCCGCGACAACGGTGCGGCGGCTGGTGCTATGTGTACGCCGTCCTTGACCCCGCAAGCCCCTCGCCAACAATCTGTACCCCGAAAACTAGGCAATTTAGCCAAAAAATTGCAGAGATCTTTTTTGAAGTCCCAAAAATTATATATTATAATTATTTAATATTATATAATTTACGTGTAAAAAAATACCAGATATACTCAGCCGTTTAACCAGAAGAAGTTTTTTGGGTTTTTCGCTCTTTTGCAAAAAACGGCTGGTTTCCGGAAAACCAAACACTCACGACAATATTCGCAAGCCTTTATTACACCATTACGCCAGCAGACATAACTTTGTAACTTCTGTTATAACTTTTGCTGCAGTTTCGGATATTTAACTGGACTATTCTGAAATATCATCAAAGTAATATAAAAAAACTATAAACAATCATACGTATACCTCTGGTTTCCTGTTTGCAAGCTTACATTCTCTATGGCGTGCGAAAAACTGTTTGATCGCAATAAAAGTACACATAATGTGAAAAAGTATTTATTTCTCCAAATTAAAAATAATTAATAGCAAAAGAAAGGAGCTTTGTGGATCTTAACCTCCGTCCTGCGGTTCAGCAACAGCCGCTCTTTCCCATTACTCTACGACGCCTCTTGGTTTACTGGATCTTTATACTACTATACTTGACAGTGAGAAATGTCAAGCGAACATTGAAGGCATATCAAATCCGTTATAAGCAATTATAATACTATTGAAAAATATACAAGATACAATGATGAAATTTCAAATGGTGTATTAGGAACTAATACCGAGCATTTTGCCTGATTTTTCAGACGGTCACTTTGCTATAGTGAGTTGATGTTTGTCTACTGTTTTTTCATTTTCTCGAGATTATTTTCCAATATTTTGAACTCGCAGTGATTTTAATCGTATGAGATTTCGAAAATAGATGTATACTATATTAATACTTTAAGAAAAAAGTCCAGGGAATTATATTTCTTCGTAAATATACTGGATTACGTGAACTACTTATTTGACAAGGTCATGCGGTCATCAATAATGCAGCCATTTAGCATATGCTAAATACTAACTAGTCCAAGACAGTTTGAAACATAATTGTGTCTGGAGTTTGCGTGCTAACTTTAGAAACAGTTCACCGCAGTTCAGTATGAAATATTTTTTTTATAAACTTTAGGGCTCATCTGTGACCGTGTAAAAGCCTCAGCTCTATATGTATACACAAGAGTATGAAGAAATCTTTAAAAAATTGTTTTCTTCGCAACAAGAGGTAATGGACACATCCGCTTTGTTTTAAAATGTGTATAATAACGAATATCGTAGCGAATCTGTTCAATTACTCACAAATAAGATTTGTTTGAATCTTTTTTGAAGAAAAAAACGTAACTCTTCGTTTTTCGCATAAACACAACAATTATCTTTCGGAATGGTTTGTGATTTATGTCGTCAAAGTAAACGCGTGTATTTTGCTATAAAATGCCCTGTATATTGCTCAGTAAACTGGTGGTGCTGGCCGGAAAACAGGTGTTTAGGGATAAGCAATTAGAAATTCTCAAACACTTGACCAATCTCGACTCCAATTTTGTTTTGGTTACTTAGAAATATGAAGCCCATGGATTTGAAGAATTTCAAGTAGTTGCGTGAAATTATCGTCGCATTAGCAGCAAGTGCCATTCTGTAGGTCTCATAAATACCTGAAAATCTTATTTGAAGAGTTTTTTGGTTCCTGCCAACACAAGGAATCAAATTTGAGGTATAATAGAAATCTTGACACATATCACTCACCGTCCAACAGAATATGTAGAATAATACAAATGGAATATGAAAAATCAGAAAACAAAGCTTACTATGGAGACAGATCATAGCAATTACAAACAAAACCAGATGTAATCTGTATATACCACATAAACATTCAAGGATCTTGATTATGAGGTTTAACATTCATTTTTGATAGAAAAACCATTAATACCTTGTTTAACAGAAACACATGTAACAGAAGATATTGAGGAGGGGGAGATCGATATTCACGGCTATCAAGTTGTAAGAGTAAACTCTGTTTCGAAGCATACAGGTGGTATATTGATATATACACCATATAGCATTGAAATCAAAGTACAGAACATTGAAGTTGTGGTACATCAATCTGGAAATAAGGATACAAAAAAATTACAGTCTGTATATTCATTACCGATCTCCAAGTGGAAGCGTCAATCGATTTATTGAATTTTTTGAAAGTGTATGTGAAAAACATTATTACAGGAATTTCACAAATGTACATTTAGGAGACTTCAATACAGTAAAGATTTCTATGTTAGAAAATTTAAACAAGTACTAAACTTCCATGGATTATAGCAGAAAATGAATGACTATACAAGGATTAGGAAATTTTCTATAACAAAAATAGATTTGCTGATAACTAATGAACAAAATCTAATTGCTGAAGTTAAGCGTACCCCAAAGATAAGTGATCACTTATGAATAATATTGATACATATATTAGTGACGCTATGGTCAAGAAAATAATATATGAAAGAGTGAACCCAACACCCTGGTTTTCACAGATATTCAAGGAGTCTAAAACGGTATAACGACTACACAAAATTTTCAGTAACTCAAAGTGAAAATGATTGGAAACAATATATAAAACCAAGAACTGAGTGTGTAGCAGTTCTCAGGAGGGAAAAGAAAAAAATACTATGATAACAAGATCGATAGCAATAAAAATAATTCTAAAATGAAGTGGAAAACATTAAAGAATCTTGTTTTTCCTAATAGAAAGACTGAATTGTCTAAGATGAACTACCTTTAGTGCCAAAAGATAGTCACCACCCGGCACTAGCTGTTGATTTGACTGCCATATTCATTAAAGAGCCTAAGTTTACATTCAATTATAGTAAAATAACTTATAACTACAGAAAGGGTGACTTTGTCAACCTGTATCAAGAGCTAATTCAATTTGACTGGGATGTTTTATTCTGCTCTTCTGATGTTAATTATATTGTTGATGTACTTTATGGCAACATTTTCCAAATTTTTGACAGGCACATACCTCTGTATAAGAATTGCAGTCACCGATACCCGCCTTGGTTTCACTCAGATATTATTAAGAACATTAAACTTAAAGCTAAATTTAGGAAAAAAAAAACAACAGGTCTGCTTTTGTTGATGATCTACAAGAATTCAAACGTTTGCGCCGCTTGATAAAAAACCAGATTAAATCAGCGTATGATCAATATATTGAAAATATCCAGAATTCTTCAACAATTAACCACAATGCTTTTTGGTCATACGTTCACTCCAAAAACAACACATCACGAATCCCAGGGATAATGAAATTTCAAAATAATTCTATAGATCAGCCTCAGGATATAGTAAACGCATTCAGTGAGTTTTTCAGCAGCGTCTATGTCGCTCACAAGCCCCATAATAAATGCCTCACTAAATCATTGTAATTTATTTGTCCATTTTCATCCAATTGGGGAAAATGAAGTCAGGAAGGCCATTAAATCACTAAAGGATAAGATGACATCTGGTCTAGATGGCATCCCATCCTTTATAGTCAAAGATTGTGTGGAAGTGTTTGTTGGTGTTCTAACTAGGATTTTTTAATTTTTGTCTTATAACAAAAAGATTTCCAGATATTTGGAAGATCGCTAAGGTCTGTCCAGTGTTTAAGTGTGGGGATAAGTCAAATATTGAGAATTACAGGGCAATCTCTATATTATGGATGTTCTCGAAAGTCTTTGAAATAGTCTTGTACAGTTGCATTTACACTGCCGTCCAGCGTCAGCTGTCATTGCATCAACACGGATTTGTCGCTAATCGCTCAACAACGACAAATCTATTTATAATAACGCAGTACCTCTCGGAAGCCATTGATAGTAATGAGCAAGTTGACGTTATTTATACCGACTTTTCGAAGGCTTTCGATAAAATTAACCACAAAACTTTATTAAATAAGTTAGGTGCACTTGGTTTCACAGATGATGCTAGGGAGTTGATGAAATCTTACTTATCCGATCGTAGACAATTTGTTAGCTATAATGGCTTCCAATCTGAGACCTACTTGGCACCTTCTAGAGTTCCTCAGTGGTCGAATCTGGGACCATTACTGTTTTTGATATTTATTAATGACCTCTGTGACTCAGTTGAATGTGAACGTCTATGCTTTGCTGACGACCTAAAAATTTATTCGCAGATAAATACTCCTGATGATTGTATCAAGCTACAACACCAATTAAATTTTGTGCTGTCTTGCTGTGTAGAAAACAAATTGGAGCTTAATGTGAGGAAGTGTAAAATAGTCAACTATACCAGGAAAATTAATGTTTGCGAATATCCGTACTCTATTGATGGGTCTGTGCTAGAAAGATGCTCTGATGTATGCGATTTAGGTATAATCTATGATCAAAAGTTAACTTTTAGTCAGCATATAAATAAAAAAGCATCAGAAGCATTGGCGGCTTATGGTTTCATAGTAAGGAATTGCAGGAATTTTCATAACATAAAGTCTATTAAGCTATTATATTATGCTTATGTTAGATCCAAAGTCGAATATTGTAGTATTATTTGGAGCCCTTACTATGAATGCTATAGCAC